CGCTCCTAGAGTGTCCCCGCAACCCCCCGGGGGTGGGGGGCCCAGCGGAGCCGCCCTCCCCGCTCCAGCCCCGTGGGGAGCAGCAGGTGTCGGGAGGCGACACTGGAAGAGGAGCAAAACGACCGCTCCCCTTTCCTCCTCGACGTCGTGTCTGAAGGGAACCAAACCTCCCCCTCCCACCCGGCCGGTTCCCCGCGGGAGTGCGGAGCCCGGCCTTGCCTTGGCTGCCTCCCCTCCCGAACAGGAGCGATTTCAAGCCCCAGCCCTAGAAGGGAGGCAGGCAAGACAGCGCCAGGCCAGGATTTGGCCCTGCCGAGAGCAGGGCTCACCCAGGCCCCCCACTGCTCCTCCCAGCCACGCCCTGGGGGCACCCAGGCTGTGTTCGGCAGAGAGCCTCTCCGCTTTCTACATGCACCCACATGGTTACTAGGACTGTCACTCCCGAAATCTCAGGAGACTCGTCTTGATGTTTTTCAGCACTGCCCTGGTGAGAAAGTAAAAGAAAACAAGCCCAGGAGTCTGTGAAATGACAGGCCCGTTCCAGTTTCCAGGTCACATCGGCTTTGAGGAAACGCAGTCGGGTAACTGGGGCTTTCCCGGGCGAGAGGCTGCTGTGAGCTCCTTCCCACCTTGCTCGCTCACGCCCCAGCCTGGGGTTTTTCGTCAGTTCTGGGTGTAATTCAGACACAGCACACCGTATCACTGCTTTGTGCGCTTTTATTTACTTCACCTTTTTAATAATACGTGAGAAAGCCATTTTAAAACTGATTTCAAAATTTAAACAATTTATTGCAAATTTTACCTTGCAGCAAGTTTTAATCCAGTGCGCAGCCTTGTAACTAGTTACAGATCAGGAAGCAATGGTTACCTGTCTCTGGGGAAAGGGCCAAGTACATGGGGGGAACAGACAAAAACCCAAACCCTGTGGCTCGCTGCTGCCGCCAATCGTCGTATTTCAGAGAGCTAAGCAAGGGAGCAGGATCAGGCCTTTCCACAGGCAGCATAAAATTGGCCTTCTCTCGTGTTGCAGCTGGGAACATGCAATTATGAATCCTGAAAGGAAGCGCAGCAATTATCTGCGTGGTTTCTGTGAAATAAGGTCTTCTGAATAAAGAATCGGGGGAAATTTTGAACACGGTGGCTATTGCTTTTCTTTCCACTTAATTTCTAGTGGAACTGATTAAGAACGATCATTACATTTAGGCAGCAATCAATCAGAGAGTGTATTTCTATTCCTTTCTTGGCACCCCAGAGATTAAGATTCCTAAAAATCTAATGCAAAGGAGAACAAAGCAAACACGATTTGAAAGTTCATCACTTAGTCACAAAGCTCAGAGGCAGAGGAGAGGGCTGGATATGCTTCCGATAAATGGACACTTCCAACATAAAGATTATACACACAATATTGACCTTTAAAACTGGCTACTAGTTTTATAGTGAAGTCAATAATGAAATAAACTGCCATAGTATGCTATCCAATTAATCATGTAGATTCATTTCATTACAGGGACACTTGCCATACACAGTTCCTCCCAAAATTTAGGCATTGTAAACCTAAAATGAGCAGAAATTCCCCTATCGTGTTGTAATATTTTTCCTGTAGAACAATTTAGTAGAAACAATAACTAAGGTTTTCTGAAGGTGCGTATGGGAATTTGAAAGCTTAACTAGGGAACTATAAACTAAATGATCTATTTTAATTGGATGAGATGGATGAAATGCAAAAAAGAAAAAAAGATGCATTGAGGAAAGTACACTAGTTTTAAGATGCTTAATGTCTAATAATTTTAAGATGTAGCAGTGGTATCTGAAAGAAAGCTGATTTTTACATTAGGTTTTTTTAAAGTATATGATATGCGACTGACAGTGTCCCTTTGCAACGGTACTGGGCTGTAAACCACAGTAATTCATATTCACATGAACACACACATTGTAAACTTGAAACATTGGAGATTAAAAAAAAAAAAAGGAAGCACATGGTATAAAATGATAAAAAACATTATGCTAATAAAAGCCAAATGGCAGAAGGAACAGCAGCAGCAGCTAGAACTGCTGGATAAGGCGCCGGCGCTGTGAAGTCTTCCGCAGCAGTCGCCTGTAGTCATAGGGATTATCTTCGGTTTTACTCTCTTCCAGGGGGCTTTCTGCAACCCTCGACCTAGGGATTAAGCGCAGAAGTGTTTTAGAAATTAAAGTCCAAACATTTACCTTGGCAAACGCTCCTAATCGACTGCTTAACCTCCACCCTTGGGGGGGGGAAAATAAAAGGAGAAAGAAAAAAAAAAAAATCAGCTGACTTTGCTAGGCCTCTCCTGTGCTGCATAAAACAGGCACCTCAGAACAACCATTACATACTAAAGAGCAGATGAACACAGAAGAACAACATGTTCTTCTACGAAGGGGATGTAATAAAAG